TAAAAAACTGTTGAGTCGTTAGTAAGATGTGGGTCGCGGCATTGTCGCGATCGGCGAGCCAGAACTTGTCTTGCCACGACGCAAAAATCTTGCGTCGATGAGACTGGTACAATTTTCTTCTTGATAGTACTGCTTGGAAACCGTGAAGACTGACGCCATTATCTCATAATCAGCGACTCCTTGACAGTTCAAGAAAGCCGTAAAAAGCGCTTTTGTTGGATCATGGAACTTTATTCCGTCGGAGCGTGTTTTTTTGAACTCGGAAAACTTGGTCCTGGCCTCCGTGCTGTAGCCATACACTTACGTCTGCCAACAGGTAATGACGTGTTCGAACACAATGGGCTCTTTTCAAAGTGGTAAAAGATGCTGCATAATAGGTTTTCATGGACGCTGAGGCGTATATCTTATATTTTGTTATCCAGCACGGAGTTGAAAATATTAGATGTTCGATAGAAAGGTCCTGATCGACGTGCGACATAAGTATGTTTGGATTTAAATTATACGCTTCTTTTTTGTCTCATTACCTAAGCAAAAATATGCGTACCCGTGAACTTACGATTAGCTCTATTCTCGTAACTGATGGGCTTGCTGGAAGGGAAGACGGCTGGATCATTTTCTTCACACGCTCTACGAAATGAATGAGAAAATATTTAATAGAATAGTATAACATCGAGGCAAATGGATCGGGCCATGTTCTGGTTATCCATTTAACGTAACGTACGTTTCAAAAATAGTACTTGCAAGCAGCCTAAATCATCTAGTTAACTGGTCATCATCTATGCCCACGCATAGCTGTCAGCGGTGACCTTTACTTGCCCACAAGCTCAGACATCTCTTACAAAGAATTATAGAACTTATTTGAAATAGGGTTGCATACATCGATCGAAAGTACTCCCTTTTCGAATTGTCTAATAATATGTTTTTGTTCAATCACATCTTTCTGATCAGCATGTCTTCATTTCTACTCGCTCACCGAGGAGATAACTAGATTTTTACAGTCAAACGTTGCAATAAGTCCTCTGTGGATCAACATCACTGAGAAATTAATGAAACACGTTTTAGTATTTCGTTGTTCCTTACGTGCTTTACACCGAAAGTCGCGCAAGCACTCAGATAAACTGAACGTAGAAGATTATTATTTATTACGTAATAAGTTGTTATTATTACGTGAAAACAAGAGAAAATGTTTCGGCAACTGCCATGACACGATTCCATATTGGGCACCGTAAACACAACCGTAGCAAATTGTGCACACCATTATAATTAAGCTGATTGACAAACACTGAAAGGAGGAAAGAAGAGAAAGCCAGACATACAATATTGATGTTTTTGCTCTGCAAACTTCTCTATCTCGTTCGTGACTTAGGTACCTATCAAAGGAGACCCTGCGTATCATGTGAAGAAAATTGACTTTTTGCCCGTGTGGGGATATGAGATCTGATACGAAAAATAAGGGGTTCAAATCAAACATAAGCCCGCATACTACTAATAATTTCAGCGTTACAAAGTACCTCATTGTGCACTACGAAGTGTAAATAAATGTTCTTTTTTGTCCATTTAGTTATATATATATATATATATATATATATATAGAAATAATTTAATAAATTGAAATACTTTTACTCATGAATCGATTAACAAGTCTTATGCTCTCTAGGATTCAACAAACGTTGTGGGCTTTTTTTCCATACAAGATTCGTTCAAAAAGACGTTTAGCCTTAACATGAAAATGGCATCGCCCGTGAACAATTTTTGCTGGTACTATTGCGTATACACTGAATATCAATAGTGAAAACTCCAATCATATTTAACGTTTGTTTCTACGGTTATTTATATCGGTCCATATTAGTTTCGTTCTAAATTAAAAACTCTTCAATATCGAGCCATCATTAATTTTTTACATTTTCAAAGTAACACGCTACGCAAATTCAACGACGCTGGTTACGAAGATTTCACGTTGTTTCGCGAGTTGCTTGTACCGTTAAATCTTGAACAGTTAAGTACAGACAGAGTAAATATTCCGTTTTGTCACGTCAACGACCGAAAACCCCAATAACTACTGGGTGCCAAACAATTCTCAAAGTAGAGTTAGAAAGAGAGCAGCACTTGGGCATCTTGAGGAAACACGTTCGTCATGCACCATCGGAGAATTTGAGCACGAAGAAGTTGACCGTGCATCGTGCGCTGGATCTTTTCACTCAGGATAAAAAATGTCTTCGAATGTACGTTCACAAAAGTCGGGTGATGCAGCTCGAGCAAAGCGATTCAAAGTTTTTGAGTCGATTAATAACTATAGATTAAATATGATGGTCGTACTGTAACACCTCTGCGAGCACGACACACCCGCAACAGTAAACGGCGAAGGCTGAATCAGCTCCTGAAAAAAGGCATATCGGCAGGGAATGCGATGGTAATCATTTCTCGAATAGTTATGGGTTTGTGCTAATCGATCATTAGAAGGAAAAGAAGACAACAACGAGGATACATTACACATTATCACGTTATAAGTTGGCAACGGGAATTTCGAGGAAATAGGTAGTGTTGACCTACTAAAACGATGCACGACCTCACACTTCAGCGATAGACATACCAAATATTCACGAATTGAGGTACGTGTTGATTGACCATGCACCCTATACGCCAGATTTTGTCTCAGTGTCTGTAGTCTCAAAGTTTTGCACCGAGGACACAAATGGAGAAAGCTATGGCTATCAGTTTAGTTCATTTTGCATGCCGAGATGTCAACTTCTATTTGAGCAGGTTAGATAGATGAGGACATCACTGGCCAGATGTATGGACTTCGAAGCAGACGCTGTTGTGAAACGGCATTTTAGAGAAAAACGATTTGGATTGATAACTTCTAAGACTGCCTACGCAGCTGAGTTTCAACTATTACTTCCATGACAGATGTTCAAGCCGCCGTATAGGATTGCTTTAAGGATATGTCAGAACAGAGAGCTCGGCTCAAGTGGCCTAGAGGGGCTGAATAGAAGCGATTACTAGATTCATCGGATGTCCTACTACTGGAATCGTTCTCGCATACAATTTCGAATGTAAGATGATTTTCTTTTCCAATGCTTTTCCAACAGTGATGAAACCTTTAAAAAGGAAAGTGTATTCCAATTTATTTTCTGAAAGATTAGCACTAAGTTTAAAGCTTGATTTGTTTGACGAACGTTTCAATTCGTTGGAGAAAATCCTTTGGTCCCTTTCTGTCGGTTGGTGCTCGGTCTTCGTCGAAATTCTCTAATTTTGCCTGATGTGATGTTTTCCGTTGCTTCCGGTTTCCGGCAGCTTTGTTACGCTTGCACTCGGTAGATTCCAACGTGTACCAAAGGATATTACTTACCAAAACACGAAAGTGATCTGTTAGAATGATGAATATTTCCAAAAGGCACGTACGTGCCTTGGATCATAATAATTGTTCGTTAAACGTATATTAACCAATATAATTAGAACTAGTAGAAATAAACCCGTCTTCATTATTGAGGACAATGTTATGTGTTGCTATAGTCCCCACATTACGCTGTGAATAGTTACAAAACGTCAATTAAAATTATTTGAAGCCGAAAGTTGGATTCGTCTCAAAATTTCGATATAACTTGCTACTAGATTTACATTCGTTGACCCTTTTCTTAATACTGTTAATCATTAATCTTAATTATAATTAATCTTAATAATAATTAATAATAAGATTAAGCGGATACTTATCAAACAGTGATTGATGTAAGGTATCAGATATTGAAAACAGGATTGTTTTTTCGTTGTACGATAGTCTACTATCAGAATTCTTGAGACAAGATCGTAGCTGTTTTATCGTAAATTCCATGGTCCATTTTTACTCTGCTATTATTGTTTCTTGATTGGCTAAATAAAATACATTATATTTGTGTATCTGTTCAAAAGAGAAGTTAAACAGTAGTAATAGGGACACTCCATATTCGTGTCTAAATATATGTGTGCCTAGCAGACGAAAACTATGCTTTTTTTGTTTGTACCATGAACCTTAATAATTGGAGTGTTATTATGTTGGGAAATACTAGTTTTTGTTCACAATTTTTGAGGCCAAGTACACAACTGTTACGGGAAATGGAATCGTTTGGCCAACAGTAAATCTACATAACGTCTAGGATGAACCATTTTTCTCGTAAGGAGTGCCATATCTTGCCTTTATTGTATTCCCTTACCTAGCTCGGGCACATCTACTCACCGCGTTCAAAAGCAACACATATGATTTACGTGCCGCCATTTTTGACATCAGTGGCCACATGGAAACAGACGATGTGATGTTAACTCAAGCTTGCTAAATGGTAATACCAAGAGCTCATCGGAAAAAGTTACAACAAAAAGGGGATCTCTTTTGTCGCGGATTTTCTCGCAGATCCTATTCTCATCATATGAACGATACTAAATACAGATAGATTTATCATTACACGCATTCGGATAGTTATAGTATGATTGTTTTGTTGTTATCACTTCATACATTTCTGATCGTTGTCTATAATCGAGATTCTTCCAACAACCTTCCCTTGTAGACTTTCCCTCCCTCCCTCTGTAAACACTCGTTGCATTACTACGTCGATTTAGTCAGCTTCTACGTCATCGGCATGCTGATAAGTCATTATGTAACGTACAGGTCGATGAGCTGCGTAAGTGCGCTTTCATTACGTGGCTGGCGACACGGTTCCTTCCTGCTTTTCGGCGTGTCGTTTGTGGCGGTACGCTGTAGCTAGAGGATGTCGCTAACACGTCAGATCTGAGCTCATAGCAGTGAAAGGTGCGGCAAAGCTTTTGTCAAAGCTGTAGCGTGTTCACTTTCTCTTGCCTATAATATGCTCGCGTGTTCGGCAAACGGTGGAACTAGCTGACCCGCTAACTGTGTTAGAGAACTCTCCAGTGAATGGCAATCCGTGTATCAATACCGGATGAACGAGCTCTGTAGGCGAATACACCCACTCTCCTAACCGATGATGAATCTTAATAGGTCATAACATCGCGTCGTTCGACTTCTTCGACTCAGACGACAACAGGCTCGCCGCGTCTGCTGCGATCTCGGTTGTTGTCTTCGCTGAAACCGGCATTAGCACCTACGTCGAAGCTTTTTGCGATCAGTTACCGTCGCCTTACGCTATTGTCTGATCAACATGTTTTCAATGTCATGTACGCTCGTGCGTTGTTGTTGTTGTTGTTGTGTATGTATGTGTGTGCTCGTAATGGAATCGTCTCGATGCTGTGATACGTAGTAGTCAATTCCGCTCGTTTACTGGTCACCGACTAGATGGCAAGAACAGATCGAGAAAGAGAAACGGGGGGGTCGACTCTGACCTGAAAAGTATATAGGAGCCAAATATTGGCACAATCCTGTAGGAAACCTCCTAGCTGCAAGCTGCGCGGAGGCAGACGAAAGCACGAAACGAAAGGTAGAAGCAATAGAAACGTCGAACGTAGATCCGACTTAGACGGCGAACATTTGTTTTAGCCAAAGTTCGAAATTTCTAATCTAGCCTTCGAACTACCTTTTTTCGTCATCCATCTTTTGCTGCTTCGCATATTTTTCCGTTATTGACTTTACCAAGAACTGCGAGTGCTTCAGCATTCGATCAGCTCTGAGTAGTTCACGTGGATTTTGCCTTTTAGCTTTAATACACACTTCTACTTTTCGATTCTGCTGTTTGCATTGACAAAGTAATGCTAGCTTTTGCACTTGCGATGTTTATGGCGGCACTTGTGCCAGTGCCAAAATGCACTGCTTCGCCTGATTTGTCACCAAACTGGAATCCACGTTCGACATACAGGTCAACGCGCGACTGGCGATCCTCGTCCACCTGGGGCTATTCGACGAAAGCATGGGATCGCGGCTTCTCCACACGGAAATGGAGCTATCCGACCCAGCTGCCCACTCGCCAATGGGACCCTTACCTCAACCACGGCCATGAACAGGGACAGGTGGTTCGTTATCCCGATGGTCAGATCGTGCAATATGGACAACGATCGAACAATCCCACTAACGGATATTCCTATATGCAAACGCCGGTCATTCATTATCAGCAAGGTGTTATGCCTACCCAGAGTTGGAAGCCTACTCGTAAGTACAGTGAACGGTGAAACCGTTGCCTTTAGACGAAGCTCTGACTACTTTGTTTACCCAACATAGCTAGCCCGTTTTTAGAGTTTGCTGCCTTTTTTGAGAAGGACAGACCATCCTTTGTGTTACGCATATTTTTGAATCTTCCCTTCGATAGTGTAGTGAGATCTTTTAAATTGGCAAGAGAAATGAATGTATTTTACGTCGGATGCTGCCATTACATTACATTACTTCAGACTGCTGACTTCCAGCACGGAACGAAGTATATCTATTCCCAGATTCCGAGCCCAGATCATATACGACGAAGTTTAATGGACAACGTCTGGAACCCTTACTATATGTTGCTTTTACAAGTAGAAGGAGGTTTCGCATGAAACACCGTGTCCCATTTTGCTTCATATATTGGATATTACTAGGGTATTGAAAGATGCGTGCCGAAAGATTTTAAGTGGTAGACAGGCAGTGGTAGACGTCGTTACGAAAATATTGATCATTCTTAAATCAATCCATTTCTTGATACTTATAGTGCGAACTCATAATCCAACGAAAGCACATATCTGCTCATGATATTTTAGGATTACAGCGATAAAGTATCTTGCGAATGAGCCTCCACTTGGAAGCTTAATACTATTGTTATTCAAGCAAATTATGGTTAAACCAGTATTTCGCATCGTCTGTTAACTTACAAACTTGGTTCTATTAAATGGTAGTATCAAAAAGCAAAGTTTTATTTGCGTTTGAAATTACCGTTAACCCACAGATATTATATAACAATAGTATTAAGCTTCGCAAGACACGTTATCTCTGTAATCCTGAAACGTCACGAGCAGACAGCAGAAGCTTCACGGCGTCTCATGTGTGAGACTTCATTGTTAGCCACCGTTAAACAGTTCTTGGTCATATGGCAACGTTTAGCCTCGCGTAAGTAACGGTACAATGCAGGAAACCGCACCTCGTCAGTGCTCTTTCTTAACGGATACAGACATTACTGAAACAGAAATCGCGAAGATGTTTGCACCTTACGTTCGTAAAAAAATCTACACTGTTTAAAAAACTTCAATAGAGCACAGTCGTAACGCGAGCCGCGGTCTCCGTGCTCGCAGCCCCTGAGCAGTATGTCCTACAATAGAGTTATCAGAGCGATCTATTTCTTCTTCCCGCAGTGTTTCCAAAGGAAATTGATCGGATCAATTTTTACGACTATCTAAATTCTATTTAATCCGATTCTAATTAACGATTTAGAGTAAAAGACGCGGTCTCAATCAATATGAAGCACACGTAATTGCATCAAAACATGCTACCCTATCTAACTGTTTGTTTCTATCGCAGTCGAGTGCAAATCTGAGCAGATGGAGCGTTGCTTCCGCGAATGCGAAGAGCGAAAAATTCATTCGTTTACCTGCAGACCCCAGTTCGGCGTAGCATTTACGTGCTCGTGTTCCGTAACTATCTACATACCGAACGTTGCCGTTTAGTATCAGCCTACACATAAAGTCACATGAATAAAGCTAGCGTATTATTAAGCCCGGTTGGGCATCGGGGCATTAATAGCAAGTCAAAACATTGCGACTTGTTGCGCACATTAAATCCTTAACCTCACCGCAGATCATTCACTTCAATCGTAGCACATTCACTAGCCGCTAACCCATAACATACAAATCACATTAATAACAGTTACGGAAAGAAAAAAGTCTAAGTGTGTGTACCCTGTGGCGCACTCAACATATAGCTTTCAAATACGAGGATATTTAAACGATGCAACCAGCGAACTACCGAAACGCTGGATGCGATGTGTATGTGTAATATAGTTTCGCTGTTAAATAAATGCCATGCTATCTAAGCGATACAAAAAGTTACCGTCTTTGACCTGTGTTATTGGGGCTGGCTGATATTGCGGACCTGTAGGTATATGCATGTCGAGATACTAGGTTTAAAGGCTGAATGAAGATATCGTATGTAGAAGCATTTGTGTTACAAAGGCACATAGTGATCTTATAAGTCTTCCGATGACATTTCATCGAGATCCTTAAGCCTAACTGTTACATGTATCATATGCTATTTTTATTTAATATCTAGCCTACATTAGCGGACCAAGAACCGTTACTTTAAACTATCGTACTGCGCTTTTTTTTTACGCTGCTACTGATGCAGTGATCGAGCTAATAATTACTCACATTGTTTTTCTATAAAGTTGAAAAGTCTATGAAAGAACTTCCCGTTTGTTTCAAATATACTTATATTATAGCATATCGATTGAATTTATTCCTATTTGTTCATTTAGAACGTTTCGTTTTGGACGCCGCTATAGATTGGGTAAGAAAAAAGTAATGCGACGATGTCTAAACTAGTCAAAATTGATAGGCTTAGTTATAAAGACGGCTATACATATATGGATATTCAGAAAAATTCAGCATCATATAAAAAGGCACATTATACAAAAAGTGTGCAATCTTCCAAAACGTAACCTAACTATTCCTGATCACCCTCGATCGTCCTTCTACCAAACTGAAACAATAAAAACAAAAAGCTATATATATATATATATATATATATATATATATATATATATATTCGTTGTAGCATCGGTCTGAGTAAAAAAGATCGGGAACTACTTGATTTGGCTTCCTGTTCAGACAGTGGATTGATAAAGTGGCTTGAAGTAGACGGGCCATCATAACGCATAATAACGTGAGCAGCACAGAACAGAGGCTTTTTTTTTTTGTTCGATCTAGGTGACCGGCAGACAAAGACTGTGGCAAACCACAACAACTTTCGTATCGAGATGGCTTTACCAAATATACATTGTTCGGTGTCGACTGTTTTTATGCCCGAGGTTTACGGCCGTTTTTGTTCCATTAAAGAATTCAAGCACGCTTTCTAGAAACGAGCAAATCGCCAAGGAAGTCTATATTTAGGCTTAGAAAAACCATGTTATTCCTAATGTTATTTCAGAGTAGATTCGTTTGTATATAAAGGTGTGGTCGATGAAGTACTTACTTCCGTAATCAAAAATAGCTATATTCTGAAAACGTTAAATGGCGTTGAGGCGGTCAGTCTTTAAGGGGGTATTGGCACTAGCAGATTTTAGCCTTATATAAGAATATTTATGTCGGATCTAAGTGAACGATGATATCGAATTGCTGCGGTAATTTATGGTATTACCACAATGCATGCCTACGAGAACTTTAGTGGATTTGCTTGTAACAATAGCTGGCTCTATGTATTACTTCCCGTTTTTAATTGACCGCATGCTATATACGACTGAAAGATCGCTTTATCCAGTCGGCTATTGTCGACTTCATTGAGGCACAAAGATATATCTCTGAGCTCGTATTCGAAAGATAGCTATGTCGAGGAATAATGGCCGTGTTTTCAATACATTTAATTAGCTCTTCATGAAGCTAAAAAAGCGGCCGAAACAATCGTTGTGCATTGTGTAATATAGACAATGAAGACTCTAGAGCTTAACGTAGTACTCAAAAGGGGTGTGTCGAGTTTAAAAGTGGCATTTTTAACTTAAACGATACGCCATACTCGACCGTCCGAATCTGACGTAGATTCACGTGGGTCATGTTTGAACATGATATGAACTTTAGAATCTGACCAAGTTGGGTAGGCGTCACGTCATACATGTGTCTGCAATTTTCAAGTTCGTCGAAGCAAACACAGTTTCGGAAAGAATTGCTGTTGATAATAAACGCTAGCTATTTCCAATTAACCTCGTCCTATTCCAATACACTCAGATGTATAAACAGCCAAAGGGTTCAGATAATTATTAGCGATATGAGGAGTTTCCTTTGGCGCCTGAACTGCTCCTAATCTCATGACCAGAGTATGCAGTTTTTTTCTCTCTCAACTTACTGCAGATCCGAAGGACAAAGCCTATAACGTAACGTTACCGAACTATTAAGGCCAGCAAGAATGAAGTTGAAATAGTCAGTGAGGCAAAAAAACAACAACCAAGATCACTAAATGGTTGGTTAGTAGAGCATAGGGGCCATAGTCAACTCGAATCCTCAGAGTACGGCAGTGTCAGGCACAGCTTAAAAAATTCTATTAGAGCTAGGTATTCAGACTTGTGCGTGCAGACGAGTTCTGTGTATACTCGACTTCCCTCATACGTCCCAAAGCCAAAGGACCAGTGCGGCTCGGAAAATTATGTTTTTATTTTACTTGTGATATAGAGTATACCAGGTGTTCGCTTTCATTGTCGAAGCTGACTAGTAGAGCTCTCAGTAAAATCAGACGTCGTGCGTTATGGAACATTCAAAAAGGACATTTAGCAAAGTTGTTTTCAACTGAATTCGGTATACTACGTGTTCGATGATGCCATAAGGGCATAACGTCATCGTCTGCCGTTTTGGCGGACAGAATTAGAAACAGTGCTTGAATGTTAAAAGGATCTGAAAGTGGGTCATCGAACTAACTAAACGAATTAAACATTTTATGCTTAGACAAAAAATTGGCTAAACATAAAGTGAACACCGTCAACGAAAAAGCACTTTATAATTAGCTAAGAATATTGTAAACGCATGATAAGACGCATAACGTCGACGAGACGAGCCTTGAGCCCTCTTTTGGTAGTCTTCACCTACTACATAATCCGCCTAATCAGAGTATAGACTATAAATCACATTTTACACAACGAATTGCTCCCTTTCGTAATTGATGTAAGACAGCCTTGCAATTCTCTAAGACCAAAGAAACTTGCTTCCCATGATGGGATTTATTGACATCAACGTTATTCCCTTAACGACCCAACAAAATGTAGACGTACCGACTATTTACCGACAGGTTACCTGTTAAGTTCATGTTTATGTGCAACAAGCTCAAGGATCCCAACCTAACCTTACCCAGACTCTTGGGCCCGTTCGGTTTTCTGAATTGCATTCAAGGGTTCAGAGACACACTTTATGATGTATTTAATGGCCGATCTCGGCCGTCAGAATCGGCACCTTCGGATTCACATCTTTGAGATCTGCACCCTTGAATTGACTTTTAATGCGTGTAAATTGATAGCACATGTGTCCCGTAAGCGGCATCATTTATTGCTGTTTGAAGTGTTAGCTAGAATCTGGCAGCAAATTCGACATAACATAGACCAGACGATACAAACAAGATTTCGTGGAGCAGAGTCCAGTGAAGCATTCATATCTGCTTCAAAAAAGCTTCAACTTAACGCTCACATATTGGCTTGTTCACCTGTTCGGCTTTTACAAATAGCTACACTTTTAACAAGGAAGAGTATTTTCAAAGACTCTTTAGCGCAAATAGGTACTCAGAGATTCGTGGTTTATTTTTTAGTGCAGAGTATCTATCATGTCGGATTTTCCATGATTCGTTGAACTCAAGTGAGTTATTGTAAAATGTTCGGGCGTTGTTCCTATGTTGACAGGTTATGGCTTCCGATTTTTGTTACCGCATAAAGGGTACGTAGTATGACATCTTTGTGTTCATTTATCTTTCACCAGGAACGAATGTGACAATAACACTATGCAAGTACTATATAAATGAATTGACCTTAGCGTTTTTTTTTTTTGTTTGTATTACAATAGCAATAAAGCAGGTGTTGTCGCCGGACTAGTAATAATATATAGTAAATAACGTCTAAATCGTGTCGTACACTACAATTGTCCTGTAATTGTAGTAAACTGATCTATCGCATATATCTGAACATATATATATATATCGGAAATATCATTACAGTTAGAGGAAATAGATAAATGATTTACTGCAGGGTTCACTCAGTAATACCGTTTATATATTCCACCAATGTTACGCTACAGCTCTTCGATACTAATCGATAACTGATGCATTTAATACGACACTATATATATATATATATATATATATTGCAGACATTTGCCTATGTCGTACCACTTTAACAAGCGTAACACGACAGGAACTTTCTAACTGACAAGAGCCTTTTCAAACTATCATTTTTTTCAAGGGCCTGTCAAGGGCCCTTCGCCTTATTCCGTTATTGCCTGTATGTTAAATAAAAATTTTAATTATGTTTCGTTATTTTAAGGCGTTCTTCTTTACAAGTACGTAACAAAATGGATAGTATCAAAATAATGGCTACCGCATAATTGTTTAATGTCGAGCTATTGTATTTCTCGTATAATGCTTCGACGAAGGAATAGTCTAACGCTGTCAAAAGCGCCGTCAGAGGCCTCTTGAATCTCCGTTCCGATGATCTGTAGCCTATCGGTTTCTGAGATCGAGCTGAGATTAAGAGCCCCCAACTTGCCAGACTCGTTCGTTCTGTGATTGACTGACCGTTGGCAGAATCTGTGACTGACAAGCAGCTTGTTCCAATAAAACCAGCGTGGCGGGGACTGTTTCGCTATTCTAATGATTCCACTTTCTACAGTGGCCACATGATCTGAGCTCTTATCTCGGACGGTCGCCAATTACTTTCACCGACTACGTTTTTATTCCGAGAGCTCCTCTAGGGATAGAAGGTATGGTTTCTTTCTCTCTCTACAGCGTACGGCGTACGTTACCGATAGAAAGTTGGTGATTCGTGCTATTTGGCGTGTCACCGTTAATGTAGTTACTACAAGATATCGTCGGTTAGACGTCCAGCAGACAGCTAGGCAACTGAAACGCACAGAATTGCATCTTTCGTCTAGCCGTTGTATATCTCTGATATGCTTAAATAAAACGCCATTATTATTAAGAAAGAGGCTAAATTCAACTTTTGAGTGCAAAGTGTGCCAATCTCGATTTTTCCTATTGTGGTCGTCACGCTTGCCCTAGTTTGACGTGCTTTTACTTTTAGCTAACACACGTATTATCTTCATTATACTGTTTGGTCTGTGCTACGAAATGATTGTGTTGAAAATAAAACTGAGTTTTTTTGTCGTTATTATAATCAGCTCAGCGAGCGTTATTCTAGCTCGTGAAGAGTCTGCGACCGCAAATAGTAAGTACGCTAACTTAACGCACCTGTCCTACAGTGGATATTCAATACGAATATATTATATCAGATGCTGGCCTTACAGCTGCTCCTTCGCTTCATACAGAACGACTATACTAGATGACAAATTACCACTATCATGGGGCTACAATTTCTTAGATAGAACTAGCTAGCAAGTCAATCTTAGAACTAATTTCTCTAGTGAAAAAAAAAAGAAGAAAAAAACATGCCTCAGAACATAATAAATAAAGCGCACAAATTCCAACTATTTTAACCCATCTAAATATTGCACACTGATCTCTATAGTTTATGTTAGTTATTTTGGCTAAATTAATGCCCAATGGAAACGGATGCGATTTCAATAGTACGTTATCGGCAAGATGTTCTACTTGAAAGCTATCGACTGAGCTGCATTCAATATAACCAAGCTTACACTCACTGATACATTTATATATATATATATATATATATAGACAGTATGGATCTATAATGTAGACAACTTATTTGTTTATTCGAACGCTCGGTTATGTTACCCGACCCGACGTGTCTACTTTTTTTTTAATAATACGCCCAATATCCTTTTAAGACTAGGGCATAGTCATATAACTGTTACATCTACTCAGTTTTGTTATGGCGAAACATTCGTACCTTTCCCTCGACCTTATTTTGGTGCAATAATATGCAGCTTCCACAAATGAGTAAGCATTGTTTTGACGCTTTTAGGCAAAAAGCCGTTTAACCATGCAAGTTTTTAGATAATGCCGAATTATTTTTAGGCCGTCAAAAGGGCGTCAAACCGCCAGCTATACAGGTCCATCTATTTCGTTGGTTACATTTAGCTAATAATTTAATAGAACTTTCAAACAAAGTTATATGATATTTGTCCTTCTTATTTGTTTCTGATTAGCATATGACGGTACCTATATATCAGGGTAAATTCAAAATACTCCAAATCTAAAAATAAATAGAAGGTCGTCATTGTTAATTCATAACCAGACCTGTATCGACAGGGAACAGCTTGAGGAACGGAACTGCGGGATCTCCGAAGTCCGAGTTGGAAGCAGCCCCGCTTGGCTTGCCAGACATATCGCGGTAAAGATAATATCCAAAAATATGCATACATGTAAAATGGTGGGTGAGGGCCTTTAGCGAAAGTCAAAAATCAAGCTTAAGTTAATTACTAGATTACCGTACGTCTGTTGAACTTTGCTAACGTGTATCTAAAATTACTCTTCGCATTCCGACAAAACGAAAATGGGCAGATGTTGTATATCTGTTTACCTTCGCTTCGCTGGATTTGATCCAGTACGAGACGTCAAATCTCTCGTAGTTGCAATATTAAACGTAACAAATCCCCGAATAGGTGTCATGAAACTCAGATACGTTTATCTCGATATGATTATTTTGCGAACCTAAAACTCTCAGACTACCGACTTCCGGAATGGGCAATCTCCCTTTGGAATGTGGGGATTTTTTAAGGCGCTGAGAAAATTGATCTTAGAGATTAATTACGATCAATGAACTTTTGCTTTTACGCGTGGACTAATAAACATGTGTCTCGTGTACTCAGCGGATTACTCGCCAACTAACATGGTTCACCATGTCAGTGATTGGGCAAATCTACCCTGTTGAGGTAAAAGAGTGTCACTTCGATAAGATGTTTAGAACAGTTTATGTACTGAGGTTGAATAAAAGCTGCATTTGGGCTGAAGGCGCCCTAGTCCATACTAGCGCTAAATATGCCCGGTAGATAATACAATAATGTTGATTGAAATCAAAACACTCGAATATATATAGTAACGCGAGCAAGCAAAAACAGCTATTTAGAATCTACTTACTAGAATTGATTACTACGTTCGAAGATTAGTTAAAAAATCGTAGGAAGATAAGGCTCGTAAGGTACACACCAGAAAATCTGAACTATAACAAGGACATTTTGTGGCGTGGTATAACGTACCTAACATCATTCAACACATGGAAGACAACCTGCATTATATAGAAGAAGTGTATATAAAAGAACTGACTATATAACAGCTGCTACACGAGCTGCTATAAACCGCCGGTGTCTTCATCGTGATTCGCGACGACGTTCCAAAGGAACCTAAAACGTAGAATAGACATTAGCTCTCGTAGCTGAGACGATTCAGACGCGACCCGAACTTCAGCACTTCTCTTGTATACTGCGAACAGACATTTGCTATTCAATCACAATTAGTTCCTGCTCTAGTTCGACGGAAAAAGGCTAAATTTACTGTAGAATACTTCAATCGTGTATGCTATTCCATTAATTCTCAGCGTGAAATTGAAGTAATGTGCTTATCGTTCAACGCACGAAGCACACAATTTCGTTTTTAAATCGTAATCGACTTAAGGAATCTTATTATATTCGGATCGCTGGAATCACGGCCGATAAAACGACAAAAGAATCTCGTTGGCTAGTGTCGACTGGAACCGCATTCATTGATACAACTATACGGGTCCAAAGCAAGAGTCACACTCAGGTCCATGGCGTATCTCGTTAGTGGCATAGGTGTTCCTGTGCTTTTAGCGGAGTTGCGCTGCCACCGCGTGGTTTTTTGCACCCATTTATAATGTTAGACAGTTAAAATTTTGAGAAAATTGTAACTTTTATGGCTTATACAACGTACTGTAGTACGGAATATACACAAAAGATTTCAGTTATACATCGAAAACGGGCATAGAGGAACGTTTATGTTTAACCGAACGTACAGAAGAGTTGTATCTAACCCCGTAGAGACCCGTAGTTTGAGAACGATCTCTCACATTATTGTTCCTCCTTCGGATACCTTATACTTACCTGTACGCACCCTTAAAGTACTAAGCTATCTCTGTCATCGTATTAATAATAGTTAATTCAATTATTTAATACAGTTCTTTGGTTTGAACGCAGTTGGCATTGTGGTGATCACACGATAACTTAGAACATACGTAAGAAGTAATCCATTTCAATTTAAATTATAGATAGAGCCTTTGAATGAATGGACTTAGGAAAAGTAACGGTGGAAGATTTTTTATAAAAACTTTTTCTGCTAGTCCATCATAAGAAGGGTGATGAATAGCTTGGGTAAAACAATGTATGTCCTAGGTCTATTACATATTTCTTTTTTTAAATTCAGAATTCCGCAAGCAAAGGACTACTGGCGTCTGCTATATTTACAAGCACGGAGCGACAGGTCTACGGGGAACCCATAGAAAACGAAGTACGTCATAATGTTTAAAAAAATAGAACGACTTCACGTTAGAAAGTAGTTACCTACCAACGAACTTATTTTAACTTTGCGACTTCCGCGTTCCAAAACAGTGGCTAGAGCACGCGCAGCCCATATATGCTTTTTATATGTCGTAGTATTTATAACAATTTTTTTATTAGCTGCCTACGGATGAGCCTAATATAGTGATGTCGTTGGTTTTACTTGAAGCTCAGCATGTGAATGAAAACTCAAAATCCAATATTTATGATTAGGATCTACTGGTGGGTTCATTGGGCAGTACGATAAAATTACCGGAGGACTGAATACATCGTAAGGCAAGCATTTTTCTACCCCAGGGACTTTTCTGGTAAACTCATTGATAATTTTATATAAAACCTAGTAATATTATTAAACAATTATGTAGGCAAATTTGTGTAGAAGGCTCGTGGATTTCGGTTAAATAAAGTTTGATAAAATATTTAAAAACATCACTTGTAATATGACGGCGTATCATGCATACGTTCTATGAGCACGATCAATAGTTTTTGTCAACATGCGACACAAAGGTTGTTTGTAAATATGAAATATGTATATACATATGAATAATCCCTGTGTGAATTATCTACGACACAACGCGTAGTTCAGTTTGTTTCGAGCAAAGGTGAGTGGAACCCTTTATCCTCTCTTAGACACGAACTCCTCATATTTTGAAACCAGTTTCTCATCGGCTTTTGATATGTGTGAACGCTAAGGGACATCGGCAGGTAGTAGCTACGAAATGGGCAAGGATTGGACATTGTTTATACCTGATTTATATGGTGCGCATTTTTGACATAAAGGCAACCTATAGCCTCTGCAGGGCTAAATTCTTTCATCGGTGTTAGCTTGAAATGTGGTTAAGGTCGCGGAGGTTTCGGTTAGCCGGTGGGTTCAGGCGGGCGCAAACGCAGACTGATAAACTTTATCCGTCAATAGACCCGGGCCGAATTCATGAGACACAACGTAAGCGAAATACGAATGGGTGTTTGGTAATGCATTCCTGAAGGGCGAATCCGGTGGCGCCGCCTGCCTCGGCCTATGCTGCGAGATTTCAGGAACAGGTTGTGCCTGTCGTGGTGTGGGTTTACATCAGACATGTAGAATAATCGACCAGCGAGTAGAGGAATATAACCAATTGAATACGGCCTGACAAATCAAGGCAGCAGCTGTCAGAGAAATGTAGCAAGTATTCACGTATTGGTCAACAAATCATCGACTGTTCGTTAATGTTCGATAATTATTATTGTTAAAAATGAGAGAGAAACCATCGAGTTACATGTAAGTCCTTCGAAGTGTTTTTTGCAGCAAGGCATTTTTTCTATTTCGCTCGAAAACGATGCGTTTTTGGTAATAAATATATGAAATGATCCGGACTGATCGAGCAACTCTTGTAGCGGCAGCTGTCTAGCTCAAATTTACCGCTTAAATTTTACCGATCTAGATATATGGATGTCACATTGGTTCCGCATCCAAGTCCAGCAGCGTAGACGAAATGAAGGTGTTACCCCGATTTTATAGATAGGTCGAAAAAACGTATCTATAATAATCGCACACTTCATGAACTCATTTTAGACTAACTAAAATACCTGTCCTCTTTGCAGTAAATGCAGCTCCTCACTCATCGCGTATACGTTGTGATGCAATGCAAAGATTTAATTGCGTCCGAGCTTGTCGTGGGGTAATGAGGACTACGTGCGTTAAGCAGGGAGATGGGACTTACCTCTGTGTGTGCTTTAATGGTGATCTTTATGGTAATCATGACCGAGCAGATGGCCAAGTCATTTTTCTTAGTAACGTTTTCGGACGAACAACAAAGGTAACTCGTTTATATGTAAAGATGCCCTTTTTTACATACGCTTATGAATAGAAGCCTTACTCATATGTAACGTTTTGTTAACAACATATTATAGCTAATCTTGTCTACGATTCTAATCATTAGCTCGGCGACATCAAATACCAGTTAGTATCTTATCGTTTCTATTTATAGCAATTGTAACAACGACAAGAAGTATATTATTCCGTTTGACAGTATTTTCAAATACAGGATAAAACAATAGGCAGCGGTACTACTAAGTTAAAACAACACTCAACGAGACGAACGGCGCATGCGCCACCATTTTTGAAAGACGTCAAATTTTTTTAAAGTCTAGTCATATACACTGGTTAGACCCATGCTATTGCAAGTTTGTTATCGGCTGGTTAGAACTTACACAATAAAATGTGTCGATTTTTACAAAGACGTTCAGAATACGTGTTTTTCTATAACTTGTGTTAATTATTGCATAAATATAAGCCATAGACACTTTAGCTGTCGAAAGTTTTGTTAAGAGAGTGATTTCCTACTGACAATAAATCTTACACGTCATATTATAATAGAAGTCAGCTTCTGATCGCGGCTGACGTTTCGTCACAACGCACATGCAACGACTCGATTGATTAAGACAGAGTGCTGGCTTTTACTGCAGAATAATTTCGAAGTGGCCGGACGATATGAGGTATGGATACAAACGCAGCGAATTTTGTTTTTTAGCTTTTGTAAACGCGCCCGTTTCCCGTGCTGTTAAGTTTCATAGTTTTTCTGCTTTGGCTGGATGTGTTGAAAGAGAACAACGAGTACAAGAGAAAAGTGAGCCTGCGAGTAAGATAGCTTAACGTAACGAAAAGACAAAGACGGCACAAACTGCACGACCACCAACACCTCTAGATTAAGCAGAAATGAAGGACCTGATTTTAGTTAAAGTCGACGGTTAGCAAAGTACGAAACAAAGAGAATAGATCTAGGAAGGGAGTTGTATTTGTAGAGAGAAACGCAGCCATGCATGGCTGCGTTTCTCTCTACAATAAAATGCGTTAATGTTCTGGCTAAGATGTGTCACAACAGAACAAAATGTTAGAAGCACAAGGGTTCTGTAAGGTAGGATTTAGCTAACTGATCAATATAGGTCAATATACCGAATTACGATATAATGAAAAACAGCGTTACAAGCTGAAGTAGCTAATTTTACGACCTGTCTTATCAGGTTAGGATAAAATTTGGCGATGATCTACACGCCTATTATTCATACATAGGACCCGAAATAATCGCGTCACTAGCATCCTATGATCTTAGGTGATTTTTCTGTGCTTGTGTTGACCCGTACGGTTTGGAACCAACTGTGTTCTCATATGTAAAGTAACTACAATACAGAAGAGAAGGGAATCAAGGCAGAGGGCCGGGATATGACTTTTAAGGTGTTCTGTACGCGCATACTACTGCGTACATAATTAAAGCAATACATAATTAAAAGCTCCATTAAAACATTTACACAGCTTCTTATTTTAGAAATCACTACGAATCCTGTTTAGAGTACGGTTATGAACACCCAGTTGTGGTGGCCTAGAAATGAGTGACTTGTAGCTGACTTAGAAACGCCTTAGAAGTCAGAAAGTGATATAATTGAGGCTTTCTTCTTTGCTTAGGATCATGGTCCTATCTCAACACAGGGCACAGGTATAAATACCGTGACTAAAATCGGTTTGCCTTGCTACTAGATGACTACGTTTAATTGATTTCCTTGCTAACATATGCTACTTTTTTCAAAATACATGTCGTCTAGGCACCTTTTCCATATTATCTGGAACCACTTCACCTGCAACATGGACGTAGAGGAGGCGTGTCAGATCCTTGTGATCCGCGATCACGATTCCGGCATATTTTTAACTACGAGGAGCGGATAGCTCACGAAAAGAACAACGATGTCAGCGACCGTGTCTTCGTATAAGCACTTTACCACTGTGCAAATCTACAAATACAGCGATAAAATTACTGCAAATATATCACATACATTTAGTGATTTCCGGAGGCTGCACGCGATGTCACTGCAATGTTCTGAAACCCGTTTTTCGAGAAAGGGATCTATCAGGCATCAAAGTGCTTCTGATTGGAATAAAAAATTGTGCAAAGCGAAGCTTGTAGAGATTCGTAAGCTAGTGATAATGTACAAAACAGATATATATATATATATATATATATATATATACATAAATATCTATAAGCAACGTATGTGAGAATAAAAAGAGGATATTGTCTGGAAACTCTGTATGTTATTATTTTTCGTTTTTAATCATACTCTTCGATAAGCGTTTTGTTGTATATTGTATACGCTGTACGTTGGAGTTCAGTTTTGACCAACTAAAAGACTTCCGGTTCAACTCGAAACTGTGTCCATCGTGTTACAGGTAAAGGGCAATGCCGATGCATATCCGATTGTACCGAAAAGGGGCTGCTGCTCTTTTATTAGGTAAAACATGTTGACTCGCATCGTTGCCGCCAACTCTGCTAGTCAGCAGGAACGCCTCACACACAAAAGTTGGGCTTGCAGAACGAGTAAGAAGATAACAATGTACCACGCCGGGGAAATGGCCCGTCTAATGTAATGGGGAAGTAACCGAAATGAGCCCGACTTTAATGGCTTGGTGACTTTAGCCACTCTCTATAAACAGCTTACAGCCTCATACTCAACAGCCCATGCTAGACAAACATTGTTATGCTGGATTCAATCGTACGTACCCAGTATTGCGCACGCCCTGTGAAAAAATTACGTAGTTATATTGAGCCGGACGATTCTTCAGTTTCCGAATAGATGCTCTTCAATAAATATTGTGGACTCTGAGGATAGACATGGCTTCTCTAAATTGCTTAGATTGATTAATGTAATGTTAAACCTTGTGGCACGGTTACTAATCTAGCTCTCTAATCTAGCGAAAGGCTGTAGCGCGTATATTTCAATTGAAAACAGATTCTGTTTACAATATCCACGGCCCTCCGTCAATTAGCGGACGGCTGGCGGACGATGATCCGCAGACGAGCTGCCTGATGAATCTGCCCAGTGACCGTCCTTTCCACTTCACTACGCCATATGTGTCGCAGAATACACTTGATGCTCATGTATGTACGAGAAGTTCGCTTAACGCTCACGATGTGAGGATGAACTTCTTCCGGCTTAAGCGATAAGGCTTTTATGATGGGTGCGCCAGCAGTTATTTTCAGCGAAGGCCAAGATCGAGAAAGATGTGCAGGCCTAAATGAAGACTGAGAAAGACAGCGGATTCCCATTAACGCTGAATAGACAGGACTACGAATCTTCTTTTACTGTTCCCTTTTATCAAACTTATTAGACCACCACGTCATGACTATGCATTCCGAACTGGAATTCAACGAGAAAACTTAAATCTTATGTAAGACCGACTTTACCAAGCGCATCTTATATAGTTAGTTATAATTATCTTACAATACTGTCCGCCCGATATTCTCTTACGTACGCGGGATTTGAACTCTTTGAAGCGACGCTGACACTGCATCAAAAATTAAGAGTAAGCAAAACTATTCGGCGTTCGATCATTTTTATGATCTAGAGCGAAAGTTGTCTACTGGGGACACTTGTTCGGTACGTTAGGTATATTTATCTAAAGGGCTGGATCGTATCACGGCACTGTTATGACCTTAGCGGTTTAAATTGTCTTACCAAAGTGTTACCCTGGAACATGTTGACTATTAAGGCCAGCCGTACAGCATTTCATTCTTAAGAAAGATACAAACTGAGCTGTAAATATTTTCACTTGCATTGTATAAGCACAGTTTGTAAAAATAAAAAAAATAATGAAAAGCACATCTGAGATTGTTGTTAAGATCACAAAAGGCGTTTTACATACAGCCCCATGTCATCCTATTGCTTCCCCACAATCTACCCAGATTGAGACATATTTTCTTTTATGAATTATGTTTCGTAGAAGTTTCGTAGTTAAACTATTTTAATTATTACAATTTATGAGCGACCCACCGCCAGAGACTTCATTACCCTTTTCAACGTTATCCGGACTTAGCAATCAATCTCATCTCATTGGCCTACGTTCACAGTGAACTGTAAAGAGGTCCCATTTAACGCAAAACGTTACAGGTTGTTAGCTGAGGAAAGGCTACCAGAGGAAGTTGAGATCTTGGAAGCACTTGGATATGCTACTAGAATAATGATACTTCATACACGAAACAGTACGACGGTTGTTATAACTTAGTAGAACGGCCGCACCGTAACGGCGAGAGCACCTAGGTCATGCACCGTTGTCACTTAAACAGTTGAGTTTCTCGCATTATTCAAACGCATCGCTTTTCCTTTTCCGCAAGGATAACTCGTTCCGGAGGGAACTAGAGCAGAAAATAAATTTAAACTTACTCTTATTGAACGAAACAGTTACTTATACGTATATATGAACATAGAGCAAGACAAAGTAGCTTGATATGCAAAACTCGCGCAATTACTGTCGTATATCATCTCTAGTATTAACGCAGACATTGTTAATACTAATTGCTTGTAAACAGTACGTGAAAATTACTAAGTCTTATACTGGCAAAAAAATGTATGGTAAAGCTAGACGCAATGATTTCCGTTCGGGCTTCCAGTCCAACGGTTCTAAAGTATATAAATTGTTATTCTGTTCCGTTGCAGCTGTTGAAACCGATGGCACGTTTAATTTCGCAATGTACTTTTGTGTCGTATAATAAAATATTTCGAAAAACTCTACTTAAATTTAAATCATTATCACGAATACGTGTGTTAGCATTTTGACCTAAACCCATAATATGAAATAGATTGAGAGCATGTTCTTCTGTTTTCACCTAGACAGAATACATCTTCTACATTTCGATCATACACGTTCAATTACTGCGACAAGCTAATTTAAATGTTGTCAACAGACCTCGAAGTACTACGTATCTAGGAGGGAATATACGTTTTTTGCGTTACGATGCTTGCTGACTAAATAATTGAGCAATAAGTGCTGGTATTAGAGGCAACGCTCCAACAGGCAAAGCCATAAATTTTGACTCATAAAATCGTTTCCAAATGATCGACTCACGACTCTAGCAGTGGAGTTCTAACTCTCAGCACTTCTTGAATTACTCATGATTGTCCATCGTTGACGCTAAAAACGTACGCTGAAACTACTATGCCCTAGAGGGATATAATGAGCATTATATCCCTCTAGGGCATAGTCTTTCAAAATCAACGCAATGGAGTGAGTATTCGGAACTCCCAACACAATAAATATGGATATATAATGATTACGATAATCAATTGTAACCTTACGTCCAGCTCTCTGAGCACTGGACTTGAGACTTCAGCCGTTGACAATATCAGGATTCTGCAGGTCTTTCAAACTAAAAATAAGCACAGGCAGTGGAAGTCCCCGACGTTTATCCCCGGTATATTGTCTTAGCTGAGAACAGATGAATGAAAAGAGGAATAGTGTCTTGACTTTTGTTCTATAAAGTGTAATTCTGTTATTAAAGGTCGGGCTGAAAAGCCGGCTGCAGGAGCGATAATGTCTATTGTCTCGTCACCCTGATTAATTTCCCTCTCTGAATGAAGAGGTCTGTCTCGCTTTTGGTGTACAGAAATACTATGAATATATATATATATATATATATATATATACTACCTTGCGTTTAAGTATCTGTTGCACATGACAACCGCTATCTACCTGATACGAATCGCATTGTGAACAAAACCGGTAGCCGAAAATGTTCTGTCAGGCTTAGAAGTGGTATATCTATTATATAGGGGAAAAAAAAAAGAAATTCTATTAAAAGTCTTGGATGGTGTGGTCCTACTTATGTAACAAGTGCCGCCGCTCATGGGCAGTTTCGTCATGAACAGATTTTAGAATCTTCCGAACAGTCGTCAAATGGTCGTCGTATGGAATGGCTTCGCTAGAATTCCACTGGCTCAACGAAGTACTGGAACAGCAGATCCAGTGTGAAGCTGGTTGCCATATATGTATCCGACCACCAGCGGGTAATCAACACTTTTTAGGGATTGGCCTTAGTTTCCGCTCAAGCTGCTGAATAGGCCAGAGCAGATAATGACATCAAGACTCCTATCAGCTACAAGCATTTCCATTTACCTCCTAACAATTAAGGTTCCTTTAGGGGCCGTGTAATTGAGCTAAGCCAAACAATGTTTTCTTAAAGAACAAACAATCAAATTGTCATTTAGATAAAAGCTTCGATACTGTATACTGGGTATGACAAATATTCATGTCATGGTTTAAATCTATAGACTATATTCCTTGTACAAGTTTGCCTTGAGATGACATTTCGTTCAGTCGATGGTTCCATTCTTGTAATAATGACTCTAATTCAACCCTGATTTACGTACGGTTAAGCAAGTGCTCCTAGTGAAGGTACAAGCACGTAGGAGTAGACAGAATTCCAAGTGTCAGACACAATTCCTCGGATATTTATTTTCTTTAAATATTTCTATGTTATTTTTACGCTGCAATATGAATAATATCTACGGCAGAGTAAATAAAGAATAGATTTGGAAATGTGAAGCAATAAAGAATGAAGCAGCTTATTTTTCTCTACACAGAAGCACTTGTCGTCTAAAAAATCGTGATTGTAGGCATAGCTTCGATTGTAAAAGTGGCAGCCGTAAAATAAACGTATAAACGATATAATTACAATAAGTATACATATTAAGGGCAGACTGCGCATAGGATTCTGCTGGCCGATAAATCGCTAGTCTTCAGCAGTTGAGCCTGGTCATTTCGTCAGATTATCCTTATGTTCCAAAGAAGTGTCTTTAGCGCACGGTCGCCCTTTGTGAACCCTACATGGTGTACGCACACCTACTGCAGGGCTGCAAGCGCATTTAGATTCACTAATCTGATTTTTTGCTGAGGTTTTGTTTTGATGTTCATGGAGTATTTTCAATTCTTCTAGGCCACATGGCCGTCCCCACAACCTGACCTTAGACTTTAGAATTCTACAGTAAAATGAATAATTTAACAGGCTGCTTGGCAGAAAAAGCCCAGTGGTTTAGAAGAACGCTGCTGTGTTAAAACGATCGGTTGTCGCCGCCAAGATAAGTTCATATCCGAAAACGAGTGGCGCATTGTTATATATGATAGGACGTTGTAAAGCTTGCTGACCTGTAAAATGTTTTACATTAAGCATAAACGTCATCGACGTGTGACACTGGGGAT